ACATCGAGCAAGTATCCGACTATAAGTATTTGAGTGTCACAATAGACAACAAACTGAAATGGCGTGTCCACACTTCTCTCCTGCATTAAAAAAGTGAACAAAAGACTATTTTTATCTAAGGAAGCTCATGTATTTTAAAGTTGATAAAACTTTGATATCCATATTCTATCATTCAACAATAGAAAGTATGATCAATTTTTGTATAACAACATTGGCCGGGAACACAAGACAACAAGATAAAGAAACATTAAATCGACTAATACGGAAAGCATGTACAATTTCAAAGTCTACATTCCTCTACTTGGATGAATTGTACATATCAGCTTCCACTAAAAAATTTAATTCCAACTTTTTAGACAACAAACATCCCTTGTTCCCTCAAATAAAAATATCAGTCAGAAGTAAAGGACCTAGGCTTCTGATCTGTAACAAAGAAAGATACAGAAGGTCATTTTTACCATCATTCACAAAAATTCTTTACCTTATCCATCCTGTATAATAAGTATTCATACGAACTTAGAGCAATCCTCCGAATAACATTGAGCATGTATCTAGCTTAAGATTATTATTGTTTATATTGCTACTCATTTACTCGTATATTATGCATGCGATTGCAAGCCTGCGTGTGTGTGCATGTGTGTGTGCGTGCGTGTGTGTGTGTGTGTGTGTGTGTGTGTGTGTATGTGTGTGTGTGAGTGTGTGTGTGTGTGTGTGTGTTTGTGTGTGTGTATGTGTGTGTGTGAGTGTGTTTGTGTGTGTGTGTGTGAGTGTGTGTATGTGAGTGTGTGAGTGTGTGTGTGTGTGTGTGTGAGTGTGTGTGTGTGTGTGTGTGTGTGTGTGTGTGTGTGTGTGTGTGTGTGTGTTTGTGTGTGTGTTTTTGTGTACACGGTATGCACCGAGGTGTTTAAACATTGCATGTTTGTGAGAATACTTTATTGTATTGTCAATTAATTGCAGAACTTGATATCGGTATAATTCATCAAAGCAGTAGCAGGTAATAAGTCAAAGAACAATCTCGAAAAAAAATTGACATGCGTGGAATCAAATTCCACCGTGCACCAAAAACATTACAGTAATGAAGTGAGTACAGCGTGAAATTATAAAAATGCCAAGAAAGCTAATAGTGTATCTCACACCAACTCGAGTCGAAACTACATCTTTTAGTAACAGGGCTGAGATCTTCGTGAACAAAGCCCTTTTTAAAATTTAGCTTACAAAAGAAAAAAAGGAAACAATATCTAAAAATAACACAACTGTTTTTACTTTGTCGGATAAATAAACCTTCGCCTTATTCAGGAAGGTCTCAGCCCTGTTAGTAAAAGATGTAGTTTTAAATCGAATTTTTGTAAGATATGTTAGTTTGTTTGTTCAACAAAGCTCACTTTGGCATGGTGCAGATAGAGTCCTTGTAGCTAATTCCCTTAATAATTTAAGCTTATGATATTTGTAAAATTTCATTATTTCGTTCTAAAGTTATATAGAAACACTCAATAATTTACAGAACAATTTTCAAGTCCAGGCATTCCTATAAATATCAGGCTCGCGAGGATGGTCATTTTACCATGTAAACATCTCTGTACATTTTGTTTCCTGTTTAAAAACATCAGCCCATAGGATCGGCGTCAATTTCTCCCACCTGTTGCTAAATATTTTCCGCTCATCGATTTGCTTAAGGCCTGTTTATGTATATAGACGATCATTTGGGGATATTTAATAGGTTGCGTTAGGAGAATGACGTCATGGATCTATACCATTTCTTTGCTGCCTACGTATACGAGGTGAAAATGTCACGCAAAATTAAATCTTTTAGAGTCATACACGAAAAGTACATATTTTCGCCTTCATGTCACCGTATCACTGTACGACACTGTTCTTAGAAAACATTAAAGAACGTTTTCATCTCTATGATCTTTAGTATTTTGTTCTCTCCGAACAATAATATGACCACAACTCCTAGATGATGCCTCGTCATCTAAGAACGAAACACATGCCTGCGTTCACTGTCTACACACGTGTCTCATTTGACGTAATATGTTCAATTTAGGTTGTATGGTCCACACGGAGATCAAAATGTTTTTCCACGAATGTGTCAGAACTTCTGAAAGCAATCCCACCGCTTAAAAATGTTTCTTTAAAAAAAAAAAGAAATGATCTGTATAAGAACCCATTTCTCTCCGCATAACTTGCTTTTACTTTCCCCCCAAAATGTCAAATAGCGCTCAGGAGTAAGAATTTGAGAAAAAGTTTATGGACTGCAGTTAGGACATGAAAACAGTAGACAATACAAAACAAATTGTGTATAATGTTAAAAAGAGAAAAAAAAAGAAATAGCTTATAGGAAGGTCATATTATTACCTATACTAGCTGACATTTGACACAAGTGAAATACGTTTTAGATGAGAGTGAAACAAAGCTAAGAAATACGTAAAAAAAAAAAAAAAGAACCACCCACCCCCTCCCAAAAGAAAAAACCCAAACAAAAATAAAAACGAACAAAAATCAATAACTTTACGTTACGTCGTCAAAGTTACGTGCCAATTAAATGCACCTCTGACATCTGCACATTTGTGCCTTGTAGGACTGGGTCCTCATCAGTTTGACCTGGTCACCGCTATGTAGACTTACATGTATAAACTGACTTCTGTTTTCCCAAAACGGTTCACTTCCGTAGTTAATTGAGGATATTTGGGGACATATGTATTGTTATTATTATTATTAATATTATTATTATTATTATTATTATTATTATTATTATTATTATTATTATTATTATTATTATTATTATTACTATTATTATTATTATTATTATTATTATTATTATTATTATTATTATTATTATTATTATTATTATATGCAACTTATGTAGTATTTTTAAAGACAAGAAACATATATGGTATATGAGCTATTGTGGTGAAATCAGGCGCTCGTCAAAATAATGCCATCACAGAAACAAACAATTTTCTGCCTGTTAGTATATTTCCCCCCGTATTTTTTGGGCTCCCCACCTCTTGCGCCTATTTATAAACACATTGCTGTATGCATCTCACTGGAAAACATTGATCATACGCACTCAAACACACACACACACACACACACACACACACACACACACACACACACATACACACACACACACACACACACACACACACACATACACACACACACACACACACACACACACACACAAATCAATATGCCGTTTTCAAGGACACCCAATCTTTCTAAATCACCAGACTTTGATGAGCATTTCCTCGATAAATTTACCTCTCACACCAGCCGACCCTCATCTCCTTTCATCGTAAATATATAAACTTTTATATGAGATAAACTGCTATTATTTCATTTAAACTAAACCTTTTGAAGTATGTTATACATACATACATACATACATATGTAATATATATATATATATATATATATATATATATATATATATATATATACATATATATATATATATATATGCTTGTTTATATTATATACTTACACTTACACTTACACCATACATTTAATCACGAATTACACACCACAATTAAGCAACAGGAGGCAGGTCACAAAAGCTGACAACCCCCCCTCTCCCCCAGAAATACACAGTGGCAAAATAAATTGTATAATATATTAAATGAGTCCTTATGTCTGGGTTGTTTCTCGTTCAACCTACATAATGATACTATGCATAGCTCTTCCACAAATGTTGATCTCTTTAATAGCACTATATCTATACTCCTATCCCTTTCTCTGTATATTATAAATATCCCCCTCCCCTTCCCTCTTACTATCTATCTGTCTGTCGGCCTATCTCAATCCCACTCACCATTCCATATTTGAACGAGCGCAACTCACACCAAACATGTACAGAGACAAAAATACATAATATGTATAATATACGCTGAAACCCAGACGTATACAAACATGTGCACCCCAAACTAACGCATAATATGAATGTTTTCCTTTCAACTACCAAGCCCCAACACTGTTCAAATAATTAAAAATGCACACAAGCAAAGAAACAAATAATATGCACAGACAGACAAATGCACCTATACACGCACAATCATACCATAGACATACACTCAAAAGAACAACAAAACTTCCACAATATTTTTTGTTTGTTTTTCTATGTGTTTTACGGTGCTCACAACTGCATAAGGTTATTTGAGCGCGCGGGATACTTTAAACATTTTCAATTGATAGGAAATTATGAACTTTGTCCGGGTGGCGGCCGAAGCCTACGCTTATTTATCGATTTTAGACCACCAAGATATCTTTAACGTGCACAATTTGCACACGGGAACTCCGAGATTTTTCGCCCTTGTTTGAGAAGGCTAGGTGTAGATCTTTTCTACTGGAAAACCAGGGATGTGGTTGAAAGACAGCAGTAGGAAGGAGCCAAGGAGAAACAGTAAAAGGCTGCAGAAAGAGTCAGGAGTCCAGAGGAGGGGGCAGAGGAGGTGAGGGGGTGGGGCTCTCTTTATCCATTTATGTTTGTGTGTGTGCGTGTGAATTTGTGTGTGTGTGTGTGTGTGTTGTCTCTGTCTATCTGTCTCTCTTTCTCTTTCTCCCTTTTCTTCTTTCTGCCTCCCCCCCCCCTCCGCTTCTCTATCCTTCTCTGTGTCTCTCCCTGATTCTCTGTCTATGTTTCTCTCTCTTTCCCCCCCCCCTCTCTCTCTCTCTCTCTCTCTCTCTCTCTCTCTTTCTCTCTCTCTCTCTCTCTTTATCTCTCTCTCTCGCTCTCATTCTCTCTTTTCTGTCTGTTTCTATCATCTTCTCTGCCTCTCTGTCTCTCTCGTTTTCTCTCCCTCTCTGTATCTCCCTCTGTTTCTCTCTCCCTCATTGTCTCTCTCTGTCTCTCTCGCTCTCTCTCTGTCTCTCTCACTCTCCCGTACTCACACGCGCCACCAAAGCCAGCGTAAGATCAATCGTGACCCGCGCGCTGCTCGTTCACCGTGCTATGCACGCGCGCACTCACACCGACCAAAACGCGCGAGCGGCGATCTCCGAGGGAGAGGGTAGAATAGAGTGTACTTCTGGGGGGAGCCACCGCCCTGTGCCCAGTGTATTACGGATGAGCGCTCGCGCGAGTGCGCTGGACATGCTAAAGGAACACAAGAATGGATACGTAGCCGCACATCAATGTACGTACAATTAGCAGTTACACAAGCAGTTATTAGCACTCCTGGTTCTATGTTTATTTTTTATTCCTAGGACTTTGTGCAGTGCCTGTCTAAAATGAGTGTGCTCAATCAATAGAAACTGATATACATTGTATGTTTTTGATCGCTCGAGGGTTTTTGTGACCAATAAACAAAGAAGTTATAACAGCAAAACAAAAACAATAACAACCACAACTAAAACAACAACAATAACAGCAGTATCAGCACGAAGAGAAACAAAAACCACGAGAAATTCAAAACATGAACCAATGCCGGTTTTGTTTTCGAAAATAATCCCTATTCCAATATTTCTGCCTTTACCCATGGACATTTTCTTTTAGTAGAAAACCTTTTCTTGAATTGTTTTCCCTGGTTCAGTCTTGTGTGATTGTTTTCTTTATAAACCTATAACTATGTTCATAAATACTTCAACAAAAGGAGCGCAGTTACTATGATGTGCAAGCGAATACTACTTTTTAAAAACAAATTGTTTTGCGGTAACCTGCTTAATTGTTGCCGTTGCTTTATGCTTACTTGGATAACAAAACACAATTATATACTAGAAAATGAAAAGAAAAAAGAGTAAACACAGTAATAACATCGAAATCTCTCGAAAGCATTACGGTATCGATGTAAGGAATACAATTCAACTCGAAACAATAAATTGTCCTGACTTGAATCTCATTGTTTTCAAGACTTGGAATGTTTTTCACAGTCTCGAACCATTTTTTCATGTTCCTTACTAAGCCTGTCTTAAAGGAAAGGTAAAAGAACAAATCCAAACAATGCCTTTCGCTTAGCTCGGGTTGAACAAGAACTTTGTATCAGAGGCAGCTACAGTGTCTGTGAACTATAACCCATCCTTGCCCCACCCTCCCGATATGGGGTCACCGCGGAGGAAAGAGGTACTTGGTAGGACGCTGTAAAAGGTGTCAAAAGAAAACTGAAAGTGTTCTCCGGGAACACCTAAAAACATTTTTTGTACACAATTGCTATTGATTCCCATTCTTGCAACCAAACTGTATCAGTCCTGCTCTAAGATCGTTTTAAAGTAGATCACAAGTCATAGTGTTTTGACCTGCTTAAGTCAATATGAGAAACCAGTCTGTGAGTTATGTTAGACTTTTTACTTTGCACGCAAAGGTCAAGAGTTCGGTTCCAATTTGGGAAGATAGTTAATCAATTACTGCCTCTGCGATTCAGTAGGGAATTTTCCCACAGCGCCAGAAAACTTTAGTTGATGGAGTCCTCGTCATAAATGATAAAAATGTGCTTGTGGAGGTGTAACCCATTTCCAGCACATTTACATCAAATGGACGGCATGTTATTTGATAAAAAAGTATGCTATTTGCTTGAAAAACAGCGTTTACAATATTTCAAAGGACAAAATATGACTTTTTAGAATGTGGTTAGACGTTATACCGTGTTGATTGCTAGTTGCACGTGTTATGTAATGAGACAAAGTATTAGCTTTCAAGTGTTTTTTTTTTCCTCCTGTCAAACAATTAAAAAGTGCGGAACCTGGCAGTTATGTTCTCTATCTAGAAACGTTTTTTTACGATTCAGCACGTATGCTGTATCTGTCGAAGAAATACAATCTTCAACCACTTTCTTGCCGAATACCTGATCCTTTCTCAGAAAACATTGCCTTTTTGGGCAATCACAGCTGTGTTGGAAAGCTTGTAAGCCAGTATCTTAAAACTTCATACATGCTTTCTGTTAATTGCAACGCAGTATTACTTCTTTGTTTACAGTGAAAAGGCATTTTTCCTCCAAAATTTCAATACCATATACTTTGCTTCTCGCGTAGAGTTAAATGTGCAATAAACAGAAAAAAAGGTTCATCAATGTGCCCCAACGCCAGGAAACTGAATGTTTTTAAATGCAAAAACAAACACAAACACACTTTCAAATTCATCGTGAGATATGGTTTTTTAAAACTCTTTGACTGAGGCAAGGTAAAGAAATTGCTGTTTACCAGATTGCGATTGTTTGTGAAACAAAATCAGTAACCCCTGAACTGCCGAAATCTCACTTTCAAGTCCCGCACCTCTATGTTCTTTTCAAAGTCAACAAAATCTAATCACTCTACTAATCACTACAAGTAGCTGCTTCTAAAAATGAACTTGTTAGAGCAGCGGTTCTTGACGCTTTTTTTTAGTTATCTGAATTAGCTGTTTGTTTGTATTAGATCTGTTTGTTAAGTGCAATATAAACATTCAATATTTTGTTGGCTGATTTTTGTCATCAACACTCGATGCTCTTGCTTTCATGGATTCTGCTTTCTTGATCTCTCCTTCACCTTTCAATCTTTTTCTTGTATTTTCGAGCGTTTCCTCTTTCATTCGCCAGACTGCACTTCCCTCGTTTCTTCGTTACGGTTTAATGATAAAATGTTCAATGTTTTCTTTCCACCTATGATCAGTGTATATATATCTCTCTTCCGCACAAAGTCAGCCCCTCTCTCTATCTCTCTCTCTCGCTCTCTCTCTCTCTCTCTCTCTCTCTCTCCCTCATTTATCTCTTTCTCGACTACAGTACACTCGATCTTCTCATTTCCCCTTTGCCTTGTTTCATTGTTCTTCAAACATTTCTCCTCGCCTCTACTTTCCCCTGTTCGACTTCTTCCGGTCTATCGGCCTCTTTCTCGCCAGTTAAGGCGCTTATGAGCATCCTCGTAGAGTCATTGTGTCTAAATTTCAGCCGATTGGGGGTCCAATCCAATCGCAGACCTACAACTTAGGCGTTTTATCTTTCTGGAGAAATATTGTTCAGCTTGATTCCCCTGTCCCCAAATGACATTTGGCGTTTTGCTATCGCATTGACTGAACTGGGATACGGTGGTGCATGTTTCCCAAGGGACCTAGATGGTAATTTCGACTGACCTGGCTTGCCAGGACGTAAGCTTAAGACGTCGTGTGAGCTAGCGTGCACTTGCTAGAAATACAAAGCAGCGGAATGCCATTTTACCCTCTTAAAAACGAACAAACTACCCTCTTAAAACGAACAATCACATAAACAAACAAGAGTACTAAAAAATCAATAGATTTTGTCGTTTTTATCAAAAGTAACAAACAATTTTTATTCCATTACATCAGTCAAAGGAAATATGGAATAGGGTGTATTCAAGAAAAACTAACTGACAGACGTAACCTGAATAGCATTTCAAGGATGAAGGTTTGTTTGAGTATCAGTTTTTGGACGCAGTGAGAATTTAACTTAAAGGAATTTACAATGCAATAACTTGTTTTGTATGGAAGTTACTTCATGGCTCTTGAAAAAAAGTGTACTACACAGCAAGAATTCATGTGTATGTTCTTGAACCACGTACTGTGTCTGTTCATTTACTATAGGTTATATACATTCGGCATTAATCTAGAAAACGGATGATAGGCTGATTGATTTACAGATGTAAAGCTGTATAGAAAATACATGAACCATACTAACAGACGGTGAGACAGTACAACATGTCGTAGATAGATAGATAGATAGATAGATAGATAGATAGATAGATAGATAGATAGATAGGTAGATAGATAGATAGATAGATAGATAGATATGCAAATAGATAGATAGATAGATAGATAAATAAATAGATAGATAGATAGATAGATAGATAGATAGATAGATATATAGAAAGACAGATAAACAGATAGATAGATGAACAAACGCCCATTAGACGTCTCTTGGTTTTTAAAAGCCAGCAGATGAACGTTTTTCCTTACTACATTGCAACATCTGCTATTTACCACAAGTGTTTGTCTTTGGCTCTTTTCCGCACGGATGATACTGGGGCAGTAATAGAATGTATTCCGCTCCCACGGACGTGTTCCGCTTCATGATATCATGCGTTTGATGAAGAAAGGGGGTGGGAAGGGGTGGGGGTGTGGGTGATGGTGGTTTAAATGCGGGTATGTTGGAGGATGCCATTGATATATCTCATGTCTTTTCTTCTCCTCTGTTATTTTTGCGATCTGTCTGTTTGTCATTAATGGCTGTTATTGTGTCGAAGAGCTCATATTTACTCAAACAAATAAAATAAGAGAATTCTCCACGAGATAGTCGTCTTTATCTCTTTAAAGACCTATTGTTTACTAATTTCCCATTTCCCACACAGTTTGAATGATCACAAACAAGTATATTATAACGTTGTCATTTACCCAATATGTTTCAGAAAAATAAAACCGGATTGAAAAATGAGTATGAAAACACAAAGCAAAAGAAGTTATCCCTTTCTTTTAAAATGTCCCAATAGCAGCAGCGTGTCTTCAATCTTTGTCGGATGCCCAGAATACGAGAGAGTCGCCCGTGAGTTATGACTGAATAATAATACACTGTATTATTTGTTTGCTATTTAATTTGGTCTTGTCTCTGCCTTACCCTGTGGCGTCTGTCTAATACGGGGTGCCCACTACTGCTGGATCGCCCAACTCAACCGCCTGATACTGAAAATATACACGTTTGTTTTTGAGGCGATCGAGTCGGGCGATCGGCATGATCGTCCGATCCTATCCGTCGTGGGCACCCCGTATAACGTTCCGTATAACGCTATCCAAGTTTTGTCGTCCCAGCAACAAGGGGTGATCAACAGAAAATTATTATTGCCTTTTTGTGAATGATGTGTTGTCATGTATTGTTAGATTATGGGTGCAGAATAATGTATTTCAAAGGATTGGTATGCATGCATTGAATGGGCAGGTATGCAGGAAATGTGTATTTGTGTAAGCTCTTCATTTTTGTATTATTTTAGTCGACAAGCGCCTGAAGTCACTTAGGAATGGGCTCTATGGATATGAAGCCGATGATGATAATGATGATGATGATCGTGACAATTATTATTATTATCATTATTATTATGATTACTATTA